TTTTTGGGGTCCCGGTTTTGGGGGGTCTCACCCTGTGTTTGGGGTCCTGTACTGGGGGTCCCATTTCCGGGGGTGTCACCTCGTGTTTGGGGTCCCACTTTTGGGAGTGTCACCCCGTTTCGGGGGTCCCGGTTTGGGGGTGTCGCGCCGTGTTTGGGGTCCAGTTCTGGGGGTCTCACCCCGTTTCCAGGCAGGGGTCCCCATTCCGGGGGTGTCACCCCGTTTTTAGGGTCCTGTTTTGGGGTCCGGTTTCCGGGGGTGCCACCCCATTTCGGGGCTCCCATTCCCGGCGGTGCCACCCCATTTCGGGGGTGTCACCCCAATTTTTTGGAGTCCCGTTGCAGGGGTGCCACCCCATTTCGGGGGTCCCATTCCCGGGGCGCCACCCCATTTCGGGGGTCCCATTCCCGGGGGTGCCACCCCATTTCGGGGGTGTCACCCCAATTTTTTGGAGTCCCGTTGCCAGGGGTGCCACCCCGTTTCGGGGGTCCCATTCCCGGGGCGCCACCCCATTTCGGGGGTCCCATTCCCAGCGGTGCCACCCCATTTCGGGGGTGTCACCCCAATTTTTTGGAGTCCCGTTGCCAGGGGTGCCACCCCGTTTTGGGGCTCCCATTCCCAGGGGTGCCACCCCATTTCAGGGGTCCCATTCCCGGGGGTGCCACCCCATTTCGGGGGTGTCACCCCAATTTTTTGGAGTCCCATTCCCGGGGTTGCCACCCCGTTTTCAGGGTCCCGGTTTGGGCCGTCACGCCGTTCGTGGGGGTCCCGCTGTCGGGGTCCGGCTGCGGGGGTGCCACCCCGTTTCCGAGGTCCCGCTTTCGGGGGGCTCGCCCCGTTTTCGGGGCTCAGGCGCACTTGGCGCGCGCCTGGGCCAGCAGGTCGCTGAAGGAGTCGAAGAGGCGCTCGAGCCACGGCTGGTTGCGCATGCAGCGCTGCACCACCTCCTCCTGGCCCAGGTCCTCGGCGCGGCCCTCGATGGCCGTGGTCTGCGCCGGACGGGGAAACTGAGTCACGGGGCGGCCAGCGGGGTGGCCAGAGGGATGGGAATGGTCAGTGGGACGGGGGAAACTGAGTCACGGGGCGGCCAGCGGGGTGGGAATGGTCAGTGGGGTGGGGAATGGTCAGTGGGACGGGGGAAACTGAGTCACGGAGCGGCCAGCGGGGTGGGAATGGTCAGTGGGAATGGTCAGTGGGACGGGGGAAACTGA